ATGGAACATTACTGGTTCTATATCTAAAGCCTCAACAAGTGGTGGAACTAAAGCCATAGCAGCCCAAATAGCTGCTATGGGGCTTGGAAGTGGAAGGGGGCCTATTAGGGAAAATTGTTCTCATAGCTTTTGGTCATCCTGGCCAACACTGATAATAGCCCTGTATGCCACAGTCTTCCTCAAGCTCCCAGAGTGTATTCTCAGCTGCTAAAGAGGGGCACAGTTTTAAAAAATTGTGTTAGAGATATAGAGTAAGTGGGTTTGATTTACAATTTTTTTCCCCTTACACATGACTAGGTATTCTTTGCAAAGTGAACATACATACATTCAATAAAGTAGGATATATATTGTTAGAATTCTGAACGAATTTAATCGATTTGGGAACATCCGTTTGACTTTCTAATAGTTGAAACAGCATGTTGGAAAATGTATCTCGATCAAACGAAATTATAACAGTAAATGTGGTTTTCATTCGGGAAACTCCATTCATTCCTAAATAAAAAATGTTAAATAAAATTTATTCAAACGAAAAAAATTCGAATGAAATTTCGAACGACAATCGCCAAGTCTCTGATGGCAATATTGAACGTTCCGAGGGGATTTTTCGTATGATCGTTCGTGCAAAATGTACCCGTGTATGCCCTACTTAACACTGACACTAACCCTGCATTCAGGGATAGTGATTGATTCCTAACCGCATGTAATCGCATCAGGTGCCAGCATTCGGCTGCCTTCAAATGCGCCCGCTGTCACCCAATCGTTAATTTGAATGGGTGACAGCTGCCGCTTGTAAATGGCAAATTTGAGATACCTGCTGCAGGAAATCACAAGTTCCTGATGCAGGAATGCCTAAATGCACCTAAACTATAGGTGTGAGTGAGGGTTTACTAGTAATCACTATGATTGGCTAATAGACCAGATTCTGACGGCAGCCAACGGCTCCGATGTCAAAAAAAAAAAAAAGAAACCGAGTAGGGAATTCCTATTGGCTATTGCACTTTGAAATAGCCAATAGGAATTTAGCTATGCATTCCTACGGTGATTTAAAAAAAAAAATTTTATTCTGAAGGCAGCCAACGGCTCCGATGTCAAAAAAAAAGAAAAAAAAGAAACCGAGCAGGGAAAGGTTTACTCTGCTCGATCTGGGAGAAAGTGTTTCTCTCCCGGGCGGCCGGGAGCCGCTATCTAATAGCGGGAGACTCCCAGAGCGCCCGGGAGAGTTGGGCTGCCTGGAGATCAGTGTCCCTGGTTACCTGGTAACTGTCTGTGCAAGTGGCCAGAGCCAGCCGTGAAATGATGGCTGGCTCTGCCCAGCAGTCAGTAGCAGGCTGTCGGCCGGCTTTGGCTTTCACCTCGGCTCTGTCGAGCCAAAGCATATGCCTTCAGCTCGACTGAGCCGCTCGGCCGACTTCGGGAGCTGTACGGGCTATAGAGAATAGCCTGTACAGCAGCCCTTTGGTTCTACTGAACCGAAGGGTTCCTGGGGCCAAAGCTAGCCGAAGGATCAGCCGAAGCTAAGGCTAGATGCTTCGGCAGCTTAGTGAATAGACCCCTTGGTTTTTATCTGTTGCACTTTATGTCATGTTGTTCTCATTGTCTCTTGTGATTTATAAATAAAGAACTTAAATAAAAAAACTCTCATCAAAAGTCTTGATCTTACTACTTCTCTCAATTACTCAAAGTATTGAAGCCAGAGGGTCAGCCCAACATGCACACAACTAGTGTTTCCACAAGTACCTCATTTCAATGGCAGCCTCTCATGATGGGTTTCCTTTAAATCCAGTCACTTAACAACCAATAAGACTTCACTCTGCTAAAATCAGACTAGTACAAGACATACATTCTCTACGACATACAACAAATGACTGCTGCTGCCTGGTGAATCTAATCCGCCTTGCCTCTGATGCTGGCTACAGACCTCACTGGATTCACACTTCATTGAAGAAAACGATTCAAGCACAAAGCAAATCCAGGAACTGGGGAGCATAATGTACATGTAAAAAAATAATTGTGGTACCTGGTTTTGCTTTGTGCTCAGATCATTTTATTTATTAAAACTAAATATTTCTCTCCTGACAAGTGTAATTTAATCTGGATTTTTCCATAAATTAAGCACTCCCATTAAACTCTATGGGGTCAAAAATGAAGAATTCTGCCCCAAAAGAACCTCATATACTTTGCGCGAGAAACAAGTGACACGAAGCTCAGGTGTGAACAAACCCATCTTTTGATATGTCACGCTTTAGGAATCGCTCAACAAAATGCTCTGGTTTGAATAGGGCCTTAGAGTTTTCCGCACAGCCATCAGGATTAACATGATTGTGTCATCACTGAGCCAGCATCTCAGTCCAGAAAGTACATGCTGACTTTGGTTGATGCCTAAAAAAACATGGTGCAATTCTTCTCGGCAGAGAAATGGTGACAACACTGCTTCCATTCCAGGATACTGTGCTCATGTCTTAGTGACTACTAACAACAATCCTGTTGCTCACTGACAATAGGGAATTCCTCCTATGTAAAGGTTTGGAGGATGAGTTGCTGATTTAATATAACAGTATGACTTTCGCGCAGAGAGTTTTTCACACACTACCAGTGAACCAAAAAACAGCTTCTAATTTCAGGGTCACAGTGTACACTGTGCACCCAGTCTTGCATGCTAATCATCCACGGGTCAGGCACTTGCAGGAGACATCTTACACACTACTTCAAAGTACTTGCATCTAGCATGAAGTCACATCCAAGAACCCTTGTTCTGTCAGGGACATCGTAGTGGGTACTTTCGAACCCCCACAGGAGGAAAATATATTTACACTGGCTCTTTTGTGCAATCTCCAATTCTTCACTCTCTCCAATTGTATGTGGATCAACATCATAAAGCTCTTAAGCCATACCCAATGTTTAGTGGAAAGTAGGCACGCAAATGTTTTATTTTTGACTGTGGTGGATGTTATCCCCTTACAAAGGTGCCCCAATTTTTCATATTCAAGTTAAAAGGAATGGTTGTGCTATGTAGTGTCCATGCATATAAAACAAGAACTGATACTGGGAATGATACCCTGCAATCAGGGGCCTATCTACCGCCAGGCAAACTAGGCATTTGCCTTTGGTGGCATTTTCCAGGGGGGCGGCAAAAAATGTTGCTGCCAGGCAGAGGGTGAGCAGAGGGGACAGTGAGCGGGTGTAGGTGCTGTCATTGTGTGTGTCCTTATCTGCCCAGATGTCTCTGCAGGACTCCGGACAAGCACCTGGAATGTGGCAGATGCTCGGACCGTTCAAGTCTCAGCGTCTGATGAGGAAGCCGCAGCCGTTCACAGTGAACGGCTGCAGCTTCCTCATCATACCCTGAGATATGAACGGTTTGCTGTAGGCACAGGACTTTACCTTCTTACATGTCCCGATCTTCCTCTCTTGCCTCCTCTCTTTGCTGTGCAGCCTCCCCCTCAGGCACAGGCCTGAGCCGTCAGAATGGAATGCTTCCT